CCATGCAGATTCCTCAGTACGGTGCGAGAGCGAATAAGCCCATGGGGGTGTGGAATTTACCTCTATTTTACTTTCATCATTCACCTCGAAAACCTGTATTCTCCCACAAGATGTTGGTATCAACAGTTACCAACGGCCAATGCCGCCTTGGGGGGGGGGCGAAGTGTCCAGTGCATTCTGATAACACCATTTTAAACTTTGCTCATCGCACTACCCAATCCACGAAATGGTAAGTACGATATTAGCGATCTTCAATTGAACTCATCCAACATATAAGCACCATTAATCACAATCACAAGGAATCACTCGTGACATCCCCTCGTGACCAACACTTACCATACCAGCAGTGCTAAGACCCAACCGAAAATCCACCACAATCTCGAACGAGACAGTGATGAGGGGAAAAAATAGCCTGAGAATTCCATCATGGCTCATAACGGGCGATTGGGAGGGTTGAATTAACTTCAGATAGCGGTACAAGTAGATACGGTGTAACGGACCCGATATAGGCAGGCAGAGAAAAACAAGGGTATGGTTCCGGAAGACTAAACCCCATACTAAGTTTCTCACAAAAAATGTGACAATTTTGGTGGTGACGCCAAGTGTAATGCTTACTAAAAGTGTTACCCTCTCTTGCATGTGACCTGAAATAGAGCTAAAATTCATGTGATAATTTATGTTGTATGATATCATAACTTCAAAATTTACCTATTACCCCATAATGTCTATACATAATATGATAATACTTATTAAAAGAAATCAGATTTATTCTGCTGACACTCCTTCCATCCTCATCTATTGGATTGCTCATTGTTCACGAAATATTCATTTAGTTAATAATTTAAATGATATTAACCTTCAGAGGAAAGTCTTGCCAACAAGTTGATAGCCCAATAGAATCCTGTTCTGTATACTAAAGGCATATAGGCCAGTGAGAATTAGAGATTTTGGAAGTTGTAATACTAGTGAAACTGTACCTGGTCCAAGTGCTGGAGACATTCTGAGTGCCAGTTGTGATAGTACTAGTGTTGACTTAAGTTGCAGGAGTAGACTCAGATGTTGTAGATTCTGAAAAAAAACTCAAGCAAAGGGTAAGAGAATGAGAAATTGAGTACAGGATTGAGATATATCACAATTGGCAAGAGATAAAGATTAATGGACAGATGGTATAGCAAATAAATTGGTATAGGAAATTCAGATTTCTATTATAAAACTATCAAACATGAGTTAACACTTAAATTACAATTCACTAAAGGATAGCACTATCCAACATCCATGACCACCAGACGCACCCTAAACTTTTTGATTCACTCTAGGACGGTGCAGCGGATGGTTCATATGGCGGTGTGTTTGTTAAACATAGAACGAGAGTTCATCCCCTGACCCGACCGACCGTTAAGACCCCCTTGGCGGGGGCGCTGTCAATGTGCATTAGATGCCGTCTGTAGGAAAACGTACCCTAATTGTGTATAACATTGCCTGTTATATGTGTGATACGATAGTTCCCTCATGTCCCCTGCATCTTGCGCTATTGGCATGCCCGTTCAGGCAGCTCGGACATTGTACTTTTGTAGCTCGGTAGGGGCTATTCCTAAGGAGGTGCCAATAATTGGTAGGGAGATACGAGTGCAGGTGCAGTCGCACCTCTGTGTCCCGGACGGCCAAAATTAGGGGAATCAGTCCCGAGAGCGGATTATCGACGGAAACGGGTGGAGGTTTTAGTATAAGAAAATTTACAACTCACGGTATTTCATCTGACACAAAGGGGTACGACTGCACGAACACTTAGCACTCTAGTACTTCTTCCTAACAGGCTGAGCATGCGGGCACAAAATTTGACTACTTCACCCTGCGCGAGGGATACTGAATTATTCTAGGTAAAAGTGATAATCCTGGGACTAAGGTTTGCGACAGAACAGAATTAAAAAATGCCCGAAGGCCAAGAGCTCACCCCCGCCCAGCCGGACCGGAACCACCCCACCCCCGGAAAGAAAGCAAAAGCGAAACCCATCCATTCCCATCCCTAAACCCTCCCAGCCGCCCCTGTTCCTGCACCCTGTACCCCCTTCTCCAGAAAACTTGCCATTTTTTCCCTAATCAGGAATCCGAGCAGCTATACAGTTATGTTAGCAACTTCCGGCCGACTAAGGTATTAAGAAGTGCTAGTGGAGTACTCACCGTGCCCCCGCCTCCCATAACTGCCATTAATACTGCCCCGATCTGCCAACGGAGAGTATTTAGAGCACCTTTCACATCGCCGATTTCCCCTTTGATGGTGCTAATATCCTCGCAAATTGTAAATAATAACGACCGTGTCCTGACATGAAGTACATTTCTACCTTGGTAATCGTGAGGATGTTATTCTCCAGCCGAAAGAGCCTGGACTCGGAAGCCGATTGGGCCATCCCGGGGGTTCGGAGGTCTCCGCTAGTTTGCGTTTCCGGCTCGGGGTTAAGGGCTCCCTCGTGTCCTTCGGGCATGCTAGCTACGTCAGGTCCACTGGTAAACGTAGTATTGTGTCGGACGCCGGGGTAGATCCTAGGGGATCGAAAACGAGCTATCCCTTAGGCGGTCTGAAACAGTC